TAGTAATATTAAATTTTTACTTGGTATTTTAAACAATTTTTAATTACAGATTTTTAAAGATTTTCTGATATTATTACAACGTTTTTATACTGCGTTATTTGAAGACAGTTGTCATTTATATTTATTTGCACATCATGCTCTAAAGTCAAAGATTTACGTGGTTGATAAATATAACTTGACATAATTCTTTTTTATCATTTTTAAAAATAAAATATAATGATTTATCACTATTTTAAATCTGATGATTTTGTGAACCTTGGAACAATAGCACGTTATGATAAATTATTATTCAATCAAAATGTAAAAGAATAATCAACAATAATTGGAATTGAAATAAATATATACAAAAATGATAAACGTAGTCTTGCATATTTTTGTGAATAAAATATTTAATCATTATTTGAGTTTAGATGTACAAAATTATAGACTTGTCTTCTTGGAGTGAAATCTAAATTATTTTTTTTATCTTATTATAACATAATTTTTTTGTTCCTTTTGTTACCTTGTTGTTATTTAAGAAAAGTAAACAAACTAAAATTTGAAAGTATTTACATTAGTTTGAAATAAACTAAATAAATGAACATGAGCATTTTAGTTTAATTTAAACTCATGTGATTTTAAACCTACAATTTAGACAATTGTTGGTCTACAATTTATACAATTGTTGGTCTACAATTTAAATATTAGTTTACATTATTAAATTATTTGGATAGTGTGATTTTTTTAGTTAGTATACAGAATATGATTTTGTGGTGTTTATAGATGATGGAATGAAATTAAATCGAAAAGTGTGTTTGTGTGAATTTTTTTTTATGAGAATACTTGATTGATCGATTCTAAGAGATGTAATAATCGATGGTTTTTTAATTAAACGTTTGCAAACAAAATTAAAAATAAATTATTATTATTATCATGTCAGTATTTTATGTTATGCTAATTATTAAATCTTAAATTTAATTATTAAACTAAAATTAAAATTTCAATCTAGAGTTTTGCCTCAGGCATAAAATCTATTTTAGTTAAATATTTAGCATATGTTTCTCTATATTAAGGTCTAATGATTGTACAGTGGTGAATAGTCTTCAGAAATTTCCTATAAGCTTTAGGTATAAAATATATAATAAGTATTTATTTGTATTTATTTTTTTTTCTTTATCCATTTTTACTTGAAAAAAAAAACCCAAGTCGAATTAGCATTTTCAGCAATTGCTGCTACATGTTAAAATATATTATCAATATTTGGAAAAGAGCACATTGCATATAATAGAAGTATCATCTCAATAATTTATAAAGCTTCAAGTTCTTTTGCTTTTTTTAATATCTCCGTCTATTGCAATCAGGGACATTTTAGGCAAATTTCTGTTAGTACTTAAAAAATATCTAAATCAAATATGAATCCAGTGATTGAACTTCTGGGTATTGCTGTTCAAAAAAGATCTTGGCACAATTTGGCACAAACATTTAAGGAGAATGATTCATGTCTTTTCTGTACAATATTTAAAGAGTGACTTGGATTCAAGAGCGTTTTCACGAATTACTTTTTATTGGACCAT